TTGATGAAAGAAATTAAAGATGTAAATAAATAGAAAAATATATTCTATATTCATGTGTTAGAAGTCTCAATGTTGTTAAAATGTCGGTCCTCCCAAGTTGATGTATAAATTAATTGCAATTCCAATCAAAATCCCAACAGAATTTTGGGGAGATATAGACAAGTTGTTATCATACCAAAAATAAATAAAACCATTCATTAATCTCAATATTCATTAATTCCATCAGTATTGAAATTAACCAGATTGTCTCAAATGACAGTTTTTAATTCTATATCTTTCTGAATCAAGATCCAAGTGAAATTTACATATAGCAATTGACTTTTGCTCTTACAATTTATTTTCAAAGTCAGGACTGAAGAAGAGATGTTTGCTTTTGAGGATACACCACAAACAGGTTGTTTGTAGATTAGAGCTTCCCTCAGTTTGGATTTTGCTGACTGCATCCCTATGATATAATTGAACATGTTCCACTGCCGTTTGTATATCTTGTAAACAAGGTAGTTAGATCTAAAGCATGAATTGGCAAACTACAGCCTACACACAAAATACAGCCTGCAGCCTATTTTTGTGCTGTCCCTTAAGTTAAAAAGTGGTTTTTTTTTTGTGTTATGGTCTGTAAGTTTGTGCTCCCTCTTCCAGATTCATATGCTGAAATTCTAAATCACCCCAAAGGTTATGGTATTAGTAGGTGGAGCTTTTGGGAGGTTATTAGGTCCTAAGAGTAGAGCCCTCATGAATGGGATTAATACTTTTATAAAAGAGAACCCACTGAACCCTCTAGCCCATTCCACTATACGAGGACATAATGAAAAGGTGCCAGTCATAAACCAGAAAAATGGCTTTAGTGCTATTGCCTAGATATTGGACTTCTAGCATCCAGAACCGTGAAAAATATGTTTCTATTGTTTATAAGGAATCAGTCTGTGGAATTTTGTTGTAGCAGTTCAAACAGGCTAAGACATTACATTTTTAAAGAACTGTAAAAATTCAAAACAAAACAAAAAATATGCAAGAGAATCAATAGGTCTTCATAGCCTAAAACATATAATTTCTGTCCTTTTATAAATAATGTTTTGAACTTCTGGTTTAGAGAACTGATACTCTATTTAAAATATGTTTTTTTAAAACGCTGGGGACCAATACTTAAATCAGACAAAATAGACTTTAAAACAAAGACTGTAATGAACTACACACACACACACACACACACACACACACACACACACACAGTGGAATATTACTCAGCCATCAGAAAAGATGAATATCCACCATTTGCTTTGACATGGGTGGACCTGGAGGGTATTATGCTGAGTGAAATAAGTCAATTGGAGAAAGATAATCATCATATGGTTTCACTCATACGTGGAATATAAGAAATAGTGAAAAAGATTATAAGGGAAAGGAGGGAAACGGAGTGGGAAAAATTAGAAAGGGAGACAAACCATGAGAGACTCCTAACTCTGGGAAACAAACTAAAGGTTGTGGAAGGGGACTTGGGCTGGCGGATGGGGTGAATGGGTGACAGGCACTGAGGAGGGCACTTGATGGGATGAGCACTGGGTGTTAAACTATATGTTGGCAAGTTGAATTTAAGTTTAGAAATGTAAAAAAAGAAAGGAATAAGTGAAAAATGGATACTGTTGGGGCAATTGAATTCCTGTCTGCATTAATCTTTATACTTAACACAAATAATTTTTTTCTATGCTGCTTTTTTTCATTTAATATATTGTGGACATCTTCCTGTGTCAATACACAAAGATCTATCTCTTCCTTTTCAAACAATGCATGCTTAAGTGTTTAGGCATGAAGTATACTAATGTCTTTACTTTGAAATATTTAAAGAATGAAATAAATGATGCATGAAGAGATTTGTTGAGTGGACAGATGGATAGAGATGTAACAAGGCAGAAATAGCAAAAGGTGACTTGTAGAATTCTAGGTGGTGTGTATATGGGTGCTCACTGTACTATTCCTTCAACTTTTCTATATATTGTTATTTTCATAGCAAAAATTTTGGGAAAGTATGAATCATATTGAATAATATGCACAAATGTACAAGCATTAAAAATAAACTATAAAATTATTTCTTTTGCTACAAAATTATAATTTGGACATATGCTAAGTGTGTGAATATAATTTTATGGATTGAAAATATCAAATGTCAACTGCTCTATTGAAAATAACCATGGTTTTAAAAAGAATAATTAATGCAATCATATGTTGCTGGACATGCTTGTAACCGAAAAAAAATGTGATGGCAATTCCTACCTATTCTGTAAGTTGTTTATGTCCTTTATATCTTTTTACCTTTAGAGTGACTCTGGAATTTTGTGGAGTGCCTATCCAAAAATACATAGCACTCTATTTCATCTCATACCAATCTTCTATCTTGTTTGTCAAACAGGGAACAGGTATGTGTAGCCTGAAACGGCACCCAGGTAACCTTAATACTGACTGAATATATGATTGTTTTATATAATCTGACCTCCTCCTAGCCCAGGGGCAAGGCAATCCTGAGTCAGAAGCACTAGGAAAGCCCAGGGACGAGGCATGTGGTAGATGAGTCAGAGAGAGAACTTAGTTTGGAGATAGGTGTGAATACAAAAGTTATAAAAAGCCTCAGGAAAGTGGGAAGGGATTAGAGAATGGGGTAAGGGATGGGCTGGGCCAGGGCTGCAACTGCTGGATTTACTAATAGTGTAACATGTTTGTACCTAATATTAATAAGTGAGACTGATACAAAGTTTTCTTTTTTAGTACTATCTTTGTCAGGTTTGATACTATGTTTACACTGGGTCCCTAAAATAAATATTCAAATTTTATTTCTTCTTCTCTGGAAAATTTATGTAATGTAAAAATGATCTGCTCCTTGAAGTCTTGAATGAATAAATAGCCTGTGAAACCATCCAGCACCTTGTAGGTGGGAGGGAAGAATAGATCTTTGGCAACTTTTTGTTAAAGTAATACATGTATATGGTAAAAATTTCAAACTGCATGAAAGGTTATACAACAAATAGTCCTCCCTTAAAAGTCAATAAGTAGTCCCTCCCACCTCTTACTGCCAGTCCCTCAGTTTGTCTCCTGAGGCAACCACTGTTACCAATCTGTTTAGCCATTGGGACATAGTCTGTGAATATTAAAGTATATGGATATATATTCCCTCCTCCTTACTTTATACCCAGATGTTAGCATATCACAAAAACTGTTCTGTACCTTGTTTTTTTATATATTTGATTTTTCATTTCCAAAATTTTGTCCTATGAAATTCCCTCCCTCCATTTTGAATTAATTTTGATCATTTTTCTAGGAAACTGCCTGTTTCCTCAATTATTTTCTAGTCTTTCATAGAGTTGTGCATTGTATTGTCCTGTAATTTAGAGCAACTAAATAAGTTCTTCATATTATTATTAAAGAATATGTATTAATGTATGTGCATTAAAGAATACTGAGTTTGGCAATTTTGTAAGATATATTGCAACTAAAAACATAAAACATAAAATATTTCCTATTTTAGGAGCTTATCCTTATGCCACTCCCTTCCTCTACAACCTTTTTGAGTTTTTTTCTTCATACCATATTACCTCATATTCAACCTGAACCCTATTAGTTAAATGAGGAAAACTGACATTTTAGTCTGAAATAATGCCTAGGTAACCTGAACACTGACTGCCTCAACAATTGTTTTATGACCTGTCCTCTTCTTAACCCAGCATGAAGGCCATCTTGAAACCAGTAGCAAGGAGGTGAAGAAATGAGGTTAGATGGTAGAGGTTGGAGTGTGGGGTTAGAGAGAGATAACTAATTTTGGAATTTGGCAAGGAGATAGAAGAGATTAATAATGGCTTCAGGAAAGTGGGAAGGGACTTGGTAACTGATAATAAAAGTGCGGGAAATCTGGACTGGGGTGGAAGTGGGAAGGGTAGAGTGGGTGGTAAAGCTGGGGCTGGGGATATTGTGCATAATATTCTCTTTTTTAAAATGTCTCAAAAAATGCTTCATATCTACCAGCCTCAATTTTAATATCACTCTCATCAGCACCTGAGCAAGTACTGAAAATGTGATTGATATAAAGAATTATGAGAATATTTAAACAAAACAAACCACAAAACAAGCCCCCTACACAAGCACGCCTCATTACTTATTTGGGAATTTCGTTCCACCATATTCCACATTCTTTTTTCTTAAATTTAAGACTTGATTTCTTTCTGGATTGCCTATCCAAAAATATAAGGCACTTTATTACACACCCATTCCTACTCTGTTTGTTAAAAGCAGAAACCTAATATTCACTCCCTCAAAGGACAGCCAGGTATCTTGAATACTCCTTGCATCAAAAATGAATGTATTGCCTGATTGCATTTTAACCTGGGGCCAAGGTAAAGTGGAGTGGAAAACACCGAGCATGTCCTTTTAGGTAGGGAAAAGTAGGACATGCAGGGTTGTTTTTTTTTTTTTATGTTATTCTTAGAATACCACCCTCTTTTAGACCTTAAACGTTTTTAGTACTTGCTCCAAATCAATTAGCAATTTTGGAAGTTGTAGAGGGATTAACATTTGGCCAATGTATGTAGAGAAGCTAGCTTCACACCTCCTCAAAGGGGGCGAGGGAGAAAAGTAAGCTTATTTAGTTTGTAAAAGTTGAGAATTGGAAAGCGGCTGGTGGAGGGTGGGGTGGGGGGGACACAAGGAATCAGCCAGGCAGGGGCGACAGTGGAGGGAGCGGTCGGTCGGGAGGGTTTGATCTCTTTATTCAGGAGCACGAAACGTGAAATTGTTCGGCAGCCCGGGGAGCCGCAGGCTTTTTCCGTGAAGTGCTAGCTAGCCCTGGGGATCCGCCCTGAGCTGCGTGGGTGCGATGGATTGAAGAAAACAGAGGCGGGGGCGAGGGCAGCGGAGGAGCGATCTGAGGGCGGCGGTTATGAAAGGGGGAGCGTGTCTAACGGGACCCGTGCTCCTAAGAAGCGAAGCGAAGCAAGCGAGGCGCGGCGACTCGGACCTTTCCCCGACAACCGGAGGCCAGACACGGAAAGCAAAGTGACGGGACCAACAGCTGTTACCAGGCGCCTTTTGGTGACGCGACCGCCACGCGATGACGCGCAGACCAGCTGCGGCTTCCACGTCTTGGGTTCCGCAAAGGCCTACGGGAGCGACCCGGGAGAAGGAGGGCTAAGATGGCGAAAGCGGCAGAGTCTCCTGGAGACCCGGGGACAACAACTCCCAGGCCGCTGGTGAGCTTGGGTTCTGCGACAAAAGGGACTGAGGGTGAGGCAGAGTGCCCTTAAGGAAGTCGGGTGACGGGCTCCTGGTCTGAGAAGGCCGGAACTCCTCCCTCCCCTTAGGCCCGCGCTATACCCGATGCCAGAACCCGTTCCAACACTGCACCTGCTCTTTGGGCTAATCGCTTTCCCCCTGTCCTCCTCGTTCCTTCCACGCCTTCTTGTGAAACTCCTATTCGCTTTTCTTTCCCATACTCCCAGGGCTGGTCCTCGTCCCGTACATTGTGTTAAATGCCGAGCTTTAGGTGATTTCTTAAATATCTTTGTTTCTCCTGCCCTTCATGTTATCAAGTTATGGTACTAGTTCTTGGAGTAGCGGCATTCTTGGGTTAATGAGATTGCTTCCCATAGGACGTTATAACTTGATTATTGATTTGTTCAGTGACCTCAGTAGTCTTGGTTTAATCCCTGCCCTCCCTGTTGCAGCTCGTTGCAATGCTCTTCATGAACCTTATGCTCTGCATGATGCAACCTTGCTCCTGTCACCATGGGATACGATTTCCATTGCAAATACAAGCTCAAAGTCTGGACAGGTATTTAAGAACACAGGTTTTGGAGCTAAACTTACTTGGGCTGGAATCACCCACTCTTCCTCTTATGAGAGTTTAGGCAAATCATTTCATGAAGAGTGTTTCTTCGTCTATAAAATGGATATAAAAATACCTGCCTCAAAGAATTTTTAGGAAGGTGAAATGCTATAATTTAGGTACAGTGTTGACCACAATCAGCATCATGAACTGAGGAGTATAATTATTCAACATTCTGCCCTAAGATTCCTCTTCCTGGTGTTCAGTTCTATAGTAGTTGTTTGATAAATGGTACTTCCCTTTCCTCTGTGTTAAATAAATTGGCAAGTTAACAAAGCAGAGGACTGGACTGGGAAACAGATGAAATTGCTTCTGGTCCTGGTTCTGCTTACTAGCACTATTTTTTATCACTGCATCCACTCAACAAATATTTATCGAGCATTGGGTATGTTCCAAGTACTCTTTTTAGGCACTGAGGATACCTCAGTGAAAGAGAATGAGTGGGTCTAAGTTCTCGTGGAATGATTGTGACCTTGAGGAAGTCACTCTCAACCCCAGTTTCCTCATTTGGAAAATGGGATAGTAACCCATCACAGAACTGATGAGGGTACTAATGAGATAGTATACACACAGTGCATGGTTGACATAGTTACAGGTGCTTAGCTGTTTCCTGTTCCTGTTCCACCTCTCTTTTATGGATTTTAGTGGTGTTAGCCATTCATTATTTAACAGTACAATCCACTTCTATTTAGTAATATTTATTGAACTCCCACAATATGCAATGCACTATGGTAGCTGCTTTAGGGAATACAAATGAGTTGCTCTTATGATGCTTATAGTCTAATATAACAAATGTACAATGCTAAAATAAGGTAGTATATCAGAGAAAGTTACACATAAAACCTTAACAAGGATCCCTGGGTGGCGCAGCGGTTTGGCGCCTGCCTTTGGCCCAGGGCACAATCCTGGAGACCCGGGATCGAATCCCACGTCGGGCTCCCGGTGCATGGAGCCTGCTTCTCCCTCTGCCTGTGTCTCTGCCTCTCTCTCTCTCTCTCTCTCTCTCTCTCTCTCTCTCTCTCTCTATCATAAATTTAAAAAAAATTTTTTTAAAAACCTTAACAAAATTTAAAAGAAGATGCTATCATGTCCAGTTGGGGTGACTAAGCAAGCTATATAGTAGAAGTTATATTTGAGAGGGCCTCAAAAGGGTGGGTAGGATTTCAAATCTCAGGTGGGCATAAGAGCTATCAATGATTGAGCATGTGCTATGTGCCAGGATTGTACTAGACACCCTCTGCATATTTTGTGGACTTCAAAGCAGCCATTTCAGTTATGTGGTTTTTAAACTCTGTTTTACTTGCAGATGAGAAGATAAGACTCAGAGAAGTTTGATTTCCCTAGGGTCTTAGTGACCAGTGAGTGGCTAGGCCTAAAATTTGAAGCTAGGTCTGCTTCTGAACTCCAGATTATTTGTATTAATACTACACAACCTCTCATGGGTGAAGGTACAGAGGTTGGGAAGTGTTAATGTATTTATAGGACAACAGGCAAATCACTTTGGCTAAAGCACCGGGAACTTTTAGGAGGTAAGCCTTAGAAAATAAGGCTACTGAATTAGGGAGGCAGTATGAAACAGTGGTTAGGATTTGTGCACTGGGGTCAAATTGCCTAGGTTTGATTCTAAGTTCTATCATTTAACCTCTCCATGCCTCAGTTTCCCCATCTGTAGACTGAAGATACAGTATTAGTTAGTTCATAGGATTGTTAGGTGGATTAAATGAGTAAAGATATGTAAAACATTTGGTAGAATGCCTGGTGCATAATGATTATTCACTAAGTGTTATTTCTTCTTATTGACTACTAAGGTTGGAGGTTTATTTATTTTTTTTTAATTTTTATTTATTTATGATAGTCACATAGAATGAGAGAGAGGCAGAGACATAGGCAGAGGGAGAAGCAGGCTCCATGCACCGGGAGCCCGACGTGGGATTCGATCCCGGGTCTCCAGGATCGCGCCCTGGGCCAAAGGCAGGCGCTAAACCGCTGCGCCACCCGGGGATCCCAAGGTTGGAGGTTTAATAGGCGGAGGAGCCAGTGGAAATTTTTGAGGAAGGAAGGGTTTAAAATCATGAATTTGACAACATAATTGAGGGACACTTCCCATGAGGAATGTCTAGAATCTAGACCAGCAAAACCATACTTCTAGGAGCAAGTGATTGCGAACTGGACTATAGATAGATAGCAGTGGTGGGAGTCCTAAAGATCTGAGACAGGCAGGATCCTCGAGGGTTTGTAGTGCTAGGGAGAATGTATCTTGGCTCACAGTTTTTCAAACTATAATGTGCATAGCAATCATCTTATTCTGATTTGGTAGGTCTCAGATGAGACCTGAGATTCTGCATTTCTCACAAGCTCCCAGGTGCTGCTGCTGCTGCTGCTGCTGCTATTGCTCTCTATACCACATTTTGAAAAGCAAAGCTGTAGACAAATGGGAGGATACTGATGCCTGAACAGAAATACATAAGAGGAGGATGAGGACCCTGAAAGTTGACTAATTAATTTTGGGCACGTTTAGTTTGACATTGGCAGCCTATCCAATAGATATGCAGCAGGCAGTTTGTCTAAAACCTGGACTTCAGGGCTCAGAAGTCAGGATTAGCTTTATTCAGGAGTCATTTGCATAGAGTTAAGAAGACAGTCATTGGTAATGCCTATCTATTGCTTGTCTGTTTGGGGAGCAGGAAAAAGAGCTATGATAATGGTTTTAGCCTGAGTTCTGGAAGGATGTTGGTCCCAGGTAAAGGGGTTGACTGAAGACCATGCCACTAGCCACCGCTCCGCACTTCTTGGAGCCAAGCCTCTTGGACTGACCTGGTTTCTGTTTGATGCACTCCTCCCTACTTGTTGACTCTTTCCTCCAGGATTTTGGTCAGTGATATAACCCATCTGGTCCCTGCTGCTTTCTTAAGGCTGCAATCCCTGCTTTTATTGTATCTTTTTGGCTCTGGCTCTATGTGCTCCCCTCATTGGCCCAAGCCAGGCAGCAAAGTGTACACATGAGTTTCTGTAAACACATGTGTATACATGTGCATGCACCCACCTGCACAGGGAGAAAGGAAGGGACATTGGGTCTAAGTCACCTTTCAACACCACTGAGAGGCTAGTCAAAGAGCAAGGTCCACTAGCTGAGGGCCTAGAAGTCCTGTCTGTCATAGGTGGGGCTTGAAGTCCACAGATCTCAGCTCAGCTCTCTGAACAATATCCTAATTCTCCTGAGGAGAGACATTGAGGAAATGTTGGGATGGTGGAAAGGATAGGAATCACCTGGCATTTAGTGACTACAGTGACTTCCAAAACCAGTAAGCTGGAGTTAAGCCAAAATTCACAGGTTAAGGACACAGTCTTCCACAAACCTACCACAGGTTTGGATATTGCCATGATCACCCTTAATTCTGACCTACTGGCTACAAATTTTGGGGTTCCCATGATCCCCAAAGTGTTTTTGGAGTTAAGCCAAAATTCACAGGTTAAGGACACAGTCTTCCACAAACCTACCACAGGTTTGGATATTGCCATGATCACCCTTAATTCTGACCTACTGGCTACAAATTTTGGGGTTCCCATGATCCCCAAAGAGTTTCATGATAGCAAAAGGATATAATCCAAACAAGCAAAAGGGGGAGATGCATAGGGTGAGGTCTGGGATGGTCCCTAACACAAAGCTTCCTTGTCTTCTCCCTGTGGAGTCAGAACCATGTTAACCCCCTGATATATCATTGTGTGAAAATAAGCAGAATATTGCCAACCAGGGAAGTGCACTCATGTATCTAGAGTCTTTATTAGTTTTTCTTTATGTAGGCATGATTGACTGAATCATTGACGACTCCTCTCCCCAGAGGCCCGTTCCTGTCACAGAAGTCAAAGCTTCAACCTTCTAATCTTGTGTTTTGTCTGTCTGGAATGGTTGTCCCTATGCTGAGTCATCTAAACTGTCTAGGGGCCTACCCTGACTCACCTGTTAGCTCAACTGTTAGGGCCCACCATGAATAACAAAAGTAACACTGTCAGTTAGGAAATTCCAAGGGTTGGGATGCCTGGGTGGCTCAGCGGTTGAGCATCTGCCTTTGGCTCAGGGCGGTACCCCAGGATTGAGTCCCACATCAGGCTCCCTGTATGGAGTCTGCTTCTCCCTCTGCCTGTGTCTCTGCCTTTCTCTCTCTCTCTCTCTCTCTCTCTCTCTCTCTCATAAATAAATAAAATCTTAAAAAAAGGAAATTCCAAGGGTTTAGAGGCTACATTCCAGGAACAGGAGACAAATGCCAGCCAAATTCTTTATTATACAATAGTGACAGAACTGGAATTGACTCCCTGGTAATCTTGAACTAGGGCTAACATTTATCTAGCCCCTGCTGTGAGCCTCCTACTAAGTGCTTTACACATAGTAATACATTTCTTCCTTACAATAGCCCTGTAATGATGATACTATTCTCTTGATTTTATAGATGAACTGAGGAATGGAGAGGTTAAAGAACCTACTCAGTGTCACATAGGTAGTAAATGATAGAGCTGGGATTTGAACCCAAGCTGTCTAGCTTCAGCAGTCTGCACTCTGCACTCTTAACCAATATTCTCCAAATATCATATGTTGAGCGCTAACTATGTGCTAGGTGCAATGCTGGTGTTAGCTAATTCTTATGACGGTATTGTCTCCAAGTGAGGTCAGAGCCCAATTTGGCTTTGAAGCTCATTCCTTCTGTACTGCTTTGCCTTCCCCTAGCATTGCAGGCAGCTTGAAAACTCAAAACAGCAATCCTAGGGACGCCTTGGTGGCTCAGTGGTTAAGTGCCTGACTTCAGCTCAGGGCATGATCCTGGAGTCCCGGGATTGAGTCCCACATCAGGCTCCCTGCAGGGAGCCTGCTTCTCCCTCTGCCTATCTCTGCCTCTCTCTCTGTGTCTCTCATGAATAAATAAATGAAATCTTTAAAAAAAAAGAAACAGCAA